GAGCCATATACACATTAGGTATTTTATAGAAAGGACTCTTCCATTTTATTCCCCATTTCAAAAATCAAGAATAGATTGTTAGTTACAGAATTACCTTTTGCTTCCTCAGCTTTAACTTTAGCTAGGAATCTTTAACCCGCTCCTGTTGTTCTCGGGTTAGGTTCTGTGGGGCGGACACGCTATTATTCATAGTCGCCCTGATCATTTCGGTTCTTGTTCTACAGACAGAATTTCTCCTACGACAATGGTGATCTTTAGAGATGTTCTGTAGTGGATTCCAAACATTTCACCTTTTTTCATTGCAGGCATGTTCGTGTGAAACACATAGATTTAGAAATATTTTAATTTTTTTCAACTGTGTAGTAAGGTTACATTAAATTAAAAATTACTCGTTTTACGAATAAAGTAAACAGACATTTTTGTTAGAAATATAATAGCAAATTAAATAAACAAACTATTCAGTGTCGTCGAAATTTAACGTCATTAATGAAGTTTTTCCCAGTTCTTTCGCCACTGTTTGTAATCAAATTCATTTAGGCTTTACTTTTATTTCGTTAAATCGCATGCCCAATATTTATTATTTCTGTCAAATATCTTTCGAGATAATCGCGCTTGTAATGTTTTTTTAAAACTTAAACACCCTGTATCTTGTAAAGGAAGCAACTATAGACTAAGGTATATTTCCGACTCAATTTTCATATTTTGGGCTAAAGATTGTGAAACTACCATTTGTGCTTCTTCTTTTAAATACTCGTATACTCTGTTTATAAAACTTTTAAAAGTTTACAATAATTAGCAAAGAAAATGGGGCTACTATGGTGCTATTATTATATATTACTTTCTGACAGTGAACATAAAGCTCAATTGCGTAAGTGTCTGGTAGTTTTACTTTCTATCATTTCTGGTATAAATCATTTAATCATTTATCAAATTACAAAAATTTTATCTATGTAGCAGCCATTTTATCAGGGATGTTATTTTGTGATATACCACATGGCTAAAATGGAGAGATAGTATTTGCTTTATAACATTTTCTGTGTAAAATATATTAAATTGCAAAACAAGCAGAATTATAGGACCCGAGCTTTCAATTTTTCAAGTTTTAGACATACATTCAATAATATTCAATACAACACTCTTATTAAAAGTCATACATCACAACAAAATAGCATTTTAAAGTATCTACATATCTTTTTTTTTTGGTTTATGGCCTTAGTATAGGAATATTTGTGTTATTACGTTACGATCGTAATACGCGTTGAAGCATCGACATTAACATTACTTTCACTAGGAATTTATAAGAAGAGAGTTGAATTATTGTTCTTCCGTAATAAGTGACATTTGAGTAAATAATGAATATTTTTTATTTATTATTAACCACGTTTGCTTATGAGGCAATGGAAAATATTTTGTTGGATTGGTTAATGCACAGTAAACAAGGAATGTAGTAAAGTTTAGATAAATATACATATTTAATTTGTTTCGGAGAAAGTTCATAAAGTTCTTTAACAATTATTTAATGATGTATTCGTATTATGAAAATTTAAAAAAGGTATTATAGATACAGATTGAAGTGACAAGTATTTAAATTGTTTTAAATTTCTCTGCAGTAATTATTCTGTAAAATGATATAATATTACGAAATCAAAAACTGTTAAAGTAGAGCTCAATTTCATCTTCATCCGTAATGCTTTGGGCGATTTGGTTACACCTTAAATATTCTGTAATTCATGAGGCGATGGTTACATAATTCGACAATAAAAAATACTTTTTAGCAAGATACATGTGTTCACAGAACAAATGCAATAAAAACCAGATTTATCAAAAAATTAAGAATAATAATCTTCACATTGGTTATTACATAATTAGGTATAAATAATTTTTAATTTTTGCTAACAAGACGCTTGTTGTATTAAATGTTCAATGGTACAATTCATTCATTTGTTTGTTTCTGAAAAATGTTCTTATGAAATTACATGCTTGTATATTTAAGAGATTTCAATGACGAATATGCCTTCTGAATTACGTTTACACTAATTTTATTATAAACTTTTATTTTAAAGACTAATACTAAATTGAGTTAACCAATATTTTCATTTTCTTATATTACTTACATAACTTTTTACTGGTATTGTTGATGACTACCTACTAATTAAAATATTTTCGGAAATTTTTTCGAAGTTAGGAATACATATTTTGAAAATGATCTCGAAATAACATCATTGCGTTGGCTACAAACTAACACGTAAAATTTCCATTGAAATACAGTGCTTGTGCTTTCAGAACCTTAGAAGGATATTACTAAGTCAATGTTATTTAATAATACAAAAAATATAAAATATTTATTATTTAATTAATAAAACTACTATAACTTTGACACTAATATCTAGATATCTATGCAAATGAAACAACAATCTCGTTACTCAACAAAGTTATGATTAAAATTCCAGACTAATAAATATATATATTTCTTATTTCTTTCTTAATGTTTAGTTTTAACTAGGTGTCATTCTAATAATTTTTTGGACTTTGCAAATCTCGGATGATTAAAATTGTATAAAAATCACATTTAAATGCACGATACTAGTGCAGAATGATAACATTCGAGTTGCAAAATCAGATTAAGTAAAAATGTTTTTATGATCATATTGTCCAACTGCAATATCGCAACAATTCTTGGAGGAATATAAATTGCTTATAATTAATAATATGTAATATTCATTTAGAATGATTTGTACTCTGATAGTGAATATCTATTAATTTTCACGACGTTTCTGTGTTAATGATTTAAAATCAAAAAGTAAACAAACACATTAATAAGTATTATTAATTTCTGAAAAATTGAGTAATATGTTTATAAATGTAAGTAGATACCTACAATGTTTACAATGTTCTAAAATTTTTGAGTGTTTTTTGTAGACGGAAATCTTTAGCAGCATGAAACCTTATACCCCATTAGAAAAATAAAACACTTTTTAACACATAATTTCTACAAACAAATCAATTTTAATGAGTAAAACGTGAGGTTAAAATATTTTATTTAAACAGAAAGAAAGTTACACATTTTTAAGTATGTTACTTAAATATTGAGAATTTTTTTTAACAAGTACTTATTATATATACTAGTAGCGGTGTTTTAGTAATTTACCACTTATATATGTAATAATCCTTACTTTCACTCTTCTAAAATTCATGCATAGTCACGAAATTGAGTTTAGGTCAAGGTCATTATTATACATAAATGTACATAGTTACGTGTTAATATTAATTAATTAGTATCACACGTTGCTCAAGACAAGCGTATAGGTATAAAATTAATGCCGTACATTAGAAAAGTCTGTTTTCCAAACAATTTAAAAAGGAAATTGTACAGCAGATTGTTTGAAATTAACTTTGGATGATTTTGAATATATTGTAGTACCTACCTATTTATTTGTTTTTGTTTGCGCTATGAAGATTGTGAATTGGAAAATATTTTAAGTAACTTTCTCGAGTTTATTAGTATTACCTTAATAATATGAATCACGGTAAGTTTCAAGAACATAAAAACAAACAATTACAACACATTCCTTGAATGTTTTGATGCTGTGCAATAATTTATGCACGTTTCAATTTGCTACGAGAGAATTATTTTACCGAATTACGAAAGTTTTATTCAAACTATCCTCAAAGTGTGTGATATAACATATTTTTATAAGTACGTATAAATTAATTGCTTATATTTCATCATTTTGTCACAAATTGTACATAAGTACATTTTCACTCAATATTGAGCATTTTGATAATTTTACTCATTTGTGGTAATATTTGAACTAAAACTGAGTATTTTCACGTTAAATAAATTCTCCAGATAAACTTGTATTTGGTACACTTGTATCTAAATCGGTGTAACCCCACCTCATTCTATGGTTGTCGTGCGTTGTCTTTGTCTATTCCCATCGTCCCCATTAGGTCATCTTGTGGCGTGGTGTATGGCGCGTAGTCCTGGACAAGCATCTGTTTATCTCGTTATTTTGGGGACAACTGTGTTTAAATGTAGTGATTTGATTACAATAATTAAACACAATAATATATTGAGTCTCGATTAACATTTGGTTAAATAAACGGATAGTTAGATTGTTACCTATACTTACTTACGTATCTGTAACGTACAATATAGATTATGGAAATTAATTTTTTCTATCAGTTAATTCTTTTAATCGAGACCTAAAATATTGTCTCTCAGACAGATCTGTGTAGAAACCACTGTGACAGCTTAGTAGTTTACGACTTTAATACAATAATGTCTGAGTAAAGAATTACTTAATAATTAATTAATAATTAAATTTAGACAAATCTCAATTTTTACATACTCAGAATTGAGTCAAAAGTCACTCACTTGATAGTTAGCAGAAACTCGGATTTGAGTAAAATTCACTCACTTATGTTACAATAGTTTCACTCATAAAAATTTTTGTTGTACTCATACTAATAGAGCGAATATTTCACTCAAACGGGTGTGGACAGAAATTGAGACATTATTGAGCAAAATTGAGTGAAATTGGGTGAATTTTTTACAGTGTATGCTTTAAGAAAATGAGGAAACATGGCACATATTTAGTTTATTAACAAATTATTGAACAATGAATAATTAAAAAAATTAACATTATTTAACCGTGCCGCGCCATTATTCCATGGCTAGAAATTGGCTTCAATGATTTGGGATCGAGGGGGATTATCCCTCTTTATCCTGCCTCATCTCGTGTAGGCCTGGACAGCCTTCGTAGGTGGGCCCCATCCGTCGTCTACCCCGACCGCAAATGCGGCCGGTGTAGGCGCTTTGTGGAACCTCATTTTGTCCTGGCTGGGCCCCGCCGGCTAGGGCCCTTTCTTCTGGCGCTCTTCTTGCTTCGCCGATTATTTAACCGACAAAATTTGTATTATAATAGGTTATAATCATTTCACGAACATATTATTATTAGTGTTGTAAAACTTTTACTAATTAATTCTTTTATTTTCAGTGGACGACGCAAGTGGCCGTTACTCGACCGGATGGTTTTGGGGAAACATTTATTGGATGGGTTCTCAAAGTCTTTGCGCGCATATAACACCAAAAAAACAGATCATCGTTGACTCGCAAGTAAGTAAACATTTATTATTCCATTCCTATTATAGCTTTAATCTAACCTGACCAATTTTCTACGAATAAATTAATAAATTAACGAACTTGCCTCTAAATGCCCTGAAGATGGCATAATTATCAGAGACGTCAGTTTGTGTACGCAGAACTTTGATTTTTTGTAGACATTTTTTTAATTCAATACGTTACTATTGATACAAAGATGCAGTATATTTCTTATTAGAAAAAATATACCGATCTGTAAAAATTATACCCAGAAATGCTAAGGATACGAAACACCACATATTTAAGTAAAAATTCATTCATTCACCAAGCGAAAGGTATACAATTTCTCATGTATAAAATGTACTTGAAAATATACATTACTTTATGTTAAAAAAACGTAAAACCTATTCTACTTTATGCTTCACTGCACCGTTATTGAAATAAATTACTTCAACTTTTACGGAGACAAAACTAAAATATTTAAAGCTACGTATGATAAATTAAATTACAAAATTCGAAATTGTGTCGGCGAAGTTTGTAAGAACACCACATCAGCATTTGCATTTGTTGTTGCAACAGTGCGTGTTTTTCTTTGCACCAAGAATACAGAAATGTGACCTTACTAGCACTTAGGCAACTTGTTTTGCACAAGAACACACAACACTTTTATGTATATTTGCTGACACCTTTTCAAAAACTTAATCTAATGCGCTTAATTATACAACGCACCGTTATTCAAATATTATTAATTAACAGTATTTTTCTGGTTATATAACGGAATGTGCGACGTGCTTTCTACCTTAGTGAAATCTGATGGAAAAAAGTGCGTCGCGTTATTATAACGTTATATAAAACGGCTGTCAATACTAAAATGAATAAATTAAGTCATCAATGCGTCTGTTGCGTTTTCTATATAAAATTTTAGGAAACTGTAGGGCATATCAGACATAGATAAAATTACAATTGTTACAGGTAGGTAGCATACCTATGTATAGAAGTTAACGAAAAACAACATTACAGTCAATTTGAATTTTATTTCAACAAAGCACATTTTGAAATAATGGTGAACTCGCCGGGAACATAATTATTTTAAATTTCTTAAGAACGATTTTTTTCAAATTTGACTAATAATAAATTTTACCTACGACCACTACTGTAAATACTTAAAAACACACCGTCTGCGATCAATGTAAGATTCCTATTACATACGGTAAAAAAAACGCACAGTTTTCCTAGCAACTGCCTAGCAACGGCCAATGCAATACTGTTTGTATTGACCGTTGCTAGGCGGTTACTAGGAAAACTGTACGATTTTTTTCCAAGCTGTGCGATTTTTTTACCGTACGACGTAATAGGAATCTTGCATTGATCGCAGACGGTGTGTTTTTAAGTATTTAAAGTAGTGGTCGTAGGTAAAGTATAGTACGTAATACGT